GTTTAACTAAATTACATTTAAATTAAACCCAATATATTTTAGTCAACTAAATCTACAGTAGATTTAGTCGACTAAAATCTTATGCTTTTTAGTCGACTAAAACTAGATTAAAAGTAAAACAAAACAGATGACTAAAATATGACTAAAACTAAAATTGCATTTTAGTCAAAAGACTGACTAAAACTAAGTTGAAATCTGCTGTCAAAATTAACACTGCAAGTGACAATCTTCATTTCTAGTTGCTGCACCATCGGCTGTACACTTCGGAATTTTGCAGAATGTAGGATGTCGCCTGGTTACCATTCATGTACTGTCTCGTCTATACTGAGCATTTGCCAGAATGTAGTATGTTATCCGTGTACCGTTCATGTACCGTCTCATCCAGACTGTGGATTTGGATATGCTGCACTTTGCATACTATACTTTGCCTACTACTTAGCAAGCAAGTATGTGATTTTGGATGTACCTTAACTCTACATGAGGTAGAGGGGCCAAAATGCCTTATTTGAAGCGCCTTGATCTAGTGGGGGGGGTATTCCCTAGGATCCAAAGGGCCTCCAGAGCTCAAACCTTACCCTCCACGGCTTTGACCCGCTCCAGCTCTTCACGCTCCCGCTCCTCCTGCACCATCCTCTCCTCCTCCTTGCGCTGCTCGGCCAGCAGAGCCTGGCGATCCGCGTCATCCTCCTTCCGCTTGTGCTGATCTGCCCGCTCGGTGGCTGTCTGGTCCTCCTGGGACACATGTATGCACATGTCAGTGCCCATGTCTCCTAGCACCACCTCCTCCACTGCAGGGGGCCAGTAGGAGGCTTCCTCTCACCTCCTCCTTGTGGGTCACATGTTTTGCTGGCAGCCGGTGGGAGCTGTGCAGGGGTGTGGAATCTAGCCGTTTTTCTCGCTGCTCCTTCTCCTGCAATGCAGGAGCAGCTCAGGGTCACGCACACAGGGCAGACCATACCATTCCAGCATGACCTGGGGAGCTTGTGGGGGTCATACCCCTGGGGACAAACCCGGCACATGCGGCCAAAGGCTTAATTATAGTGATTATCTCCTAAAGCACTTGGAGGGGAGTCAAAGGCCGTGCAGTTATTATACTGACACATATCATTTAAAAAAAGCTGTTATTTAAGCACAGTCCATTTACCAAACCACTGAATTTTGACTGGAGTAGGCATATTTCCACCACTGTACACCGACCTCAGGCTCGATGTGTAGAATGAACCAATAACTTCAGAAAGAGGGGAGTTCACTCTACGCTACTGAGGGTTGTACGCATGACATGTTCTCCCACCACAGACTCCTATGCATGAGAACTGGAACATGATGCCACCACTTCTCTCGAAGGGAATACAGCAGGCCTGCTAATCACACGGCCAAGCCTAACCATCTCAATGTTCCTGAAGGTTCTACAGGAGAACATCAACTATAAGGTGCCTCAAGCATTCCTGGGCCCACATAACCCAAGAGATAATGGAACCTGAGAGTTCCGGAAAGACACAGGCAGCCATGGGACCGTGCCCACTTCAAATGCGTGGCGTCACGGTTGGCTGTTGCAAGCTGCACCTTGTGATCGATCATGCTGCTGATCTCCGGCAGGAAGTTCTGGCTGATGATGCGGTAGAGGTGCCGGTCCTGGGGAGAGGACTTGTCCTTGATGCTGTCGGCCAACTTGACCCATTGCTCCTCTGTGTCACACACCAGAGACCAAGCACCTCGCTCACGCTCTACAGGAGAGAGTCAGGATAATCAGCACGTGGCACCACCATCACAAATGGTAACCCCAACGGTTCTTCCCTTTTGTCAACGACCATTAGGGTTCCACCCCATACACCCCTAAACCTACATAAAATGAAACTGCTACATAAAAATTATTAATAAGGAACCTCAACAAGGAAAGCATGAGGCATTTGACTAACCGGAGCCAAGCCGCAGAGGGTCCACCCCGTTCTCCTCCACCACAGCTTTCAGTTCACTGAGGACGAGAAGGCACACTGCACACTGAGTCGCCACGCCGCCTACGCTTCCTGGACACTAAGCTTCCTTGACGTTCAGCTCCGATTTGAACATTAAGAAGTGCAGACAGACATGTTGCGAGTCAAGGTCCCAAAGTATGATTTGGAGAAGCGTTTATAAGCTACGCTATATATCAAAAGTATGTGGACACTTCTATTAATCAGAGGAATTACAGTATTTAGTCACATCCATTGCTGAGAAAGGTGTGTGTTTCTTTACCCAGTACCACATTCTCCTACAGCAAACATATACAACAGAATGGTTCAACAGTAGAGGTGAGTGATTTTCCACTTGGCAACATCATCAGACGGCATCTTTCCAGCAAGTCAGTTCACCACATTTCTGTCCTGTTAGAGCTGCCCTGGTCAACCGCAAGGGAAGTGATTGTGAAGGTCAGAAATCTGGGAGCAAGTTCAGTTACGAAGCGGTTGGACATACATGACGGACCTGATCACCCAACAGCAACACCCAACCTGAATGGCAGCAAATGCCACCACCAATGTTCCAACATCTAACGGAAGGTCTTCATAGGGGTGATTATAGCAACAAAGGGCCAACCAACATTATATTAATATCCTGAGTTTTGGAATGAGATGTTGCACAAGCTGGTGTCCACATACTTTTGGCCATATAGTGTACAATGTTTCAGGGCATCTGTCCAGCAAGGCATTACCTCAGACGTTTCTCTTCCTCCAGCTTCTTCTTCTTCGGTGGTCTTCCTCTCTTCCTCTTCTCCGGCACCCTGACCTCAGGTACCTCGCTGTTGAGGTATGACAGCCAGTCATCAATCACCTTATCAGAATACCTTGATACAAATCATGGATTCAGTATCAGAGGCGATGTCCGATAGCAGTGCTCTCTACTCTACTTCTCCACCCCAAGGCGCGGCCTCCGTACCAGAGTTCACCCGGCTTTGGTTTAACCGGCTCCTCCTTGTACATGCGTGTGCCATAGAAATACCAGTAGAGGGCACCACTTCCATCCTGCCCCAGTGGCTCAACCCGCAAGCTGTCTGCATCCAGGCCCTGGGAGAAGAGTAAAGAAAAAGACTGAACTTCAAAATCACAGACTAGTCCGTTGGAACATTTTGTTGCTGTCTGATGAAAACTGCATATATCCACTTTTTGTCATTTATGACTTTTTGTTGTTTTTTTTACTATAAATGAAATATTACCAATGAGCAGATGTTTTATTAAGCCATCAGTTTAACTAGCATTTATGTTTGTACTAGTTAACACTTGTATTCATGATGGTAAGGATCATAAGGGTTACTTCATATTGCTAATCTTAACATAACATTGATAGCTAGCTCACGTAATTGTTAACTATGAATACAAAGCGAGATTAATTTGTATCTTGTTTGGCTTGCTGACAATACATATAGGTCCATTTAAAGCATTAAGCAGATCACTGATTGCTGTGTAAAGATAGGTTTCTATTTGTGGTGACAATGGTGTCTCAGTACGTTGTTTTAGGTTTATTTTAGAAAGCAGTTTTTGCTCAAAAAATAAAGGATTTTAGGAGATGTTCTTCCTTGGAAAGCGATGATATGAGAAAGCTTCACATGTGTACCAGTAGAATTCAAAGGAGGGCTGGAGGACAGGTTCGTGTGAACCAATATACATGTGTATACCCACAGCAGCAAGATGCACACCAATATCTTCAGGATAGATAAATGTGTTTCAATCACATTAGTATTCCATTCTGACCAAAAAGTTTAATAATTATGTTTTAAGAGAATGTTCACAAGCACATCACAGCTCTCTTATAACTTCACCATTTTACCTGGGGAGTCATTTACCACCCTGACCCTGCACTGCCCCCACAGGAAGTCCACATTCACTTATGTTGCTCTTTGGGCACCTTGAGCAGGTCGAAGACGTCGGCCGCATCCAGCCGGTAGTCGCACAGTCGGTGGAGCAGCTCCACCTGCGTGCGAGTCGGCAGGGTCTCAAAGGGGCCCAGCCGTAGGGGGTTGGGCTTCCCCTCTTCCAGCTCCCAGCGGTAGTTGATGATGTCATCGAGATAACTGCTAAACGCTTGGGGTCTGAGGGGAGCAAGAACAGAGAGCTAAGCCGTGCGTCAAATGGCCAGAGGAGGAGAGGAGTAACTGGGGCACCAATACGGGCCACACAGCGAAACACAGCCCAAGTCAACGTGATTTTGCAGAAAGGGTTTTCTAGAAATACCCAGAACTCCTCTAAGTGTCTACGACCTACAACAAAATGGACGCCTTCTCTTGTTTCTGAGAGAAAATCCATCAGAGCAAACTGGTTTTTAACATCACCGTGGGACCATTAATGTTGAGCCATCCACTGGGTGGGACACACAACACATTCATTTGCAAATGGCGCCCTTTCAAGGTATTTGTTTTAGAAAACACACATTATGTGTGAGTTCCTTTGGCGCCTTTGTGGAAGCCTAATAAAAGTCTAATTTATGCTGCCATACTGTAGAGGTTCCTTGCAATGCGGCGAGAGCCGTTTCTTTCGTACTGGGTCAGGGCCCATTATTGGTTGGCTGTGGGTCGGGTAATTGTGCTGGTTCCAGGTCAGCCCGGCCTGATTCATTCGGACCCGCAAAGACCTTCAGTTCTTGCTCAAATGCACAGAAACAAGGGCTCGGGGCAGGGGTTAGTACAAGCGCGAGGGTTAGGGGCGAGCAGGGGGGGGGCAGTGGGGCAGAGAGAATGGCTTATTTTGAAAGAGCAGCGTGCATTCTCACAGCTGCGCCCCCCCCACCCCCATCCCCCAGCTCTTCTCTGACTGGGCGTTTAACGCGTGCGGATGAAAGAAGCGTCTCCTGAATGGGCAGGGGAACCTCTGCTACGTCGGGAATGCCAGCAGCTGTCTGACCCAATAAAGTGTCCTGCCCAAAACGCAGAGACCAGACCCCCACCCTGCTTCCACAGGACTGGGAACACTGTGTGGACACCTGAGCCACACAGTGGTATTCTGAACCAATCTGATCTTCAGGATATTAGCCACACACATCCTGGCCACCAGAACCCAGAATAAAAAAATGCAGCAGAGTTTTGAAGCTTCCCGCAAGCGTTGAGGTAAAGGCTTAACACCTATAGTCGTTTCCTGGACCTCGTAGTCAAGCTTCAGTGTAGAACAAAAAGAGGTGTTGGGGAGAAGAGCAGGATGAAAGAGCGTGAGAGTGTGTCAGATGCCGGCACAGACTGGCCAGCTGGGGAGCTCACGTGATGTCTGTGCGCTGATAGCAGCCCTGCAGCAGCGAGGCGATCAGTTCAGCCAGGAATTCGCCGTCCTGCTTCAGCAGTGCCTCCTCCAGCTCCTGCGAGGACAGAAGAGAGCAGAGGTGGCGTGAAATGGGGGATGGAGAGAGTCCCAGAGAGAGGAGAGACAAGCACATCTGTTAAAAGGCAGACCGACACCCCGCTGGGAGCGGCAGCTGAAAAGGGCACAGTGAAAGTGCCGGAGGAGTGACGAGCTCTCTCTCAGCTCTCCTGCAGGGGGCGCATTTCCCAGGACCCTCAGCTCATCGCATGTTTACTGTCATTCGGAGCTGAAGCTGTGACAGACTGGGAGCTCATCCCCCCCCCCCAAAGAAGCTTTGCATCAGCTCACCTCACCCAGCCTGCAGCCTACGCACCCAAAACATGGGTCAATACAGATCCGGCGCTTCTATCAATTTTATCAAACCCTAAATGTCAAGCACATACACAATGAACCCAGAAGGGGACGCCTTCATTCAGTAGGCATTCATGTCGGTGTGCACGGCTCAAGTTCAGCATTGTGTGGCCCCCATTCAGCGTTTATGAAGCGTTAATAAGTCGGCAAGTATCCCCCCACCCCCGATGACGGAGCAGAGGCGTGGCAGTCACCAAGACCCTGCCACCCCCCCCATTCTCACAACTACCTGCTGCTCTCTGGCAAGGAACAGCCTCTCCACTGGTGCTGAAATACACCCAAACCTTCAGCTGTATACTAGCGACACGCAGGAACACTTGGGTATTTTGGAAACAAGTACTGCCTCTCCCACCTCCCCCCCCCCCCCCCAAAGCTGCTCACCGTACAGGCTACTGGCTAGCGAGGGAGGCCCGGATACAGGAAGTGGCGGTCACTGGGATAACAATAGGCCAGCATGATCACACACAGCCGCTCACAAACAGAATTTCGGCTCTTAGAACTGGCCGTTGACAAATGTACAGCCCACAGTTTTACCCCCATTCTGACGACTGGAGACACACATACACAGACTAGGTTTGTGCAGTAAATACTACTGTGGAACTCCAGTGGATACACATCATGACAACGCTAACAGACTCTAGACCAGTTTGACTATAAAAAATGTTAGGGTGCCCATCTTTGGATCTATAGCTGATAAGAGGCACAGAATATGATGTATGAGGAGAATGGGAGGCAAGGCAAAACTAGCACTAATGGCGTTTTTCCACTAGCATCCAGGAACCGAGCCGTACCCAAGCCGTACTGTGGAGAGACACTAGTTACAGTGCAGTTCCAGCGTGCTTCGGTTTTCCACTGCAGAGGGATTGGCTCAGTAAAGGCGTCGCCAGGTTTGGAGAGCCACAGCGACATAAAACCGAAGAGGTGCTTATTTACTGTTCAGATGGTGTTTATCATGGATTTACTATGTGCTAATTTCCACTAGCATGTCTGCTACAATAGCCGCGTTATATTAGCATCAAACGCTATCTGAATTAGCATTCAGCATCCATTGCATTACGAATCCATTCCTTTTAGCTGTTCAAGAAAACTTTTTAATTAGGTAGTCGGAGTTTTTGGGAATGCACCGGTACATCATGATATGATACTATTAATAAAGAGTAATAGAATATGCCTTCAAAATGATCCATGCATATTGACGGAGATCAATGGTATATCCCACCAATCAGATGGTGGTGACACAACCAGCTCGATTTGCTCATGCTTTTGACCCTGCTAGTAAGCAGCACCATGTCAGCGCGGGGACAGCTCAGGTACAATAATTTACAGTGGTAAACGGTCAGTACAGTTCAGGTATAGCGTGGTTCTTGGTGACCGTGGAAAAGTGCCATTACATGGTTCATCAGCAATTCTTCAAAACCAGAGAAAGGAGCTTCCACTACTCTTATAGAGTGAAGTCTCTGATCTGCTTCTTTCTGCAGCCCCTTGCCACTAGATCAAACACCGTTACCCCGTTTCCACAGGCGGTGCCAGAGATCTGGAACTGGTTCCATTGTATTTCCACTGCAAAAAACTGGCCATGGGCTAAAAAAAAAAAAAAAAAAAGAGTCTAGCATGGTACCACAGAAAAGACTGGAACCAAAACATCAGGTCCACATCTTCCAGATAGCTGGAAAACTCAATCCACAACCGATAAAGTTTAGTCCAATACCGGTGCTGGCAGTGACAGCTTGCCAGCTTAGCAAAGGAACGTTACATTGATCATTTTCCACAGAATAAACAATCTGTTAGCTAGAGTTAATTATGAATTATAACCATGTCCGAAACAGATCAAAATAAATAAATAAAAAATTCATATTCGTGAACCTTGATTTTACTCTCACTTGCACCTACGGAACATTTCTGTTCCGTTCTTTTCTAAAACTGGTGGAAATGCAGGAAGGTTATCAAAAGACACCAAACAAGAACCAGCCCAGCACCATCTCAGTGTTGGTGGAAACAGGGTATAAGAGCACACTGGGAGTGTCTGGGTTTCTGAAAAAGGTCTGAGGGATGCTGTCACAGCCCAGCTTCCTCTTCCCCAGGACACCAATTACACCGGCCGTCGCATATCGGTTCCCAAAGCACACGGCAGCCCGTCCGTCCATCAGCGTAATCAGCACTTTGATTAGACTTCAAACCCAGCACCGGAAGGGGGAAATAAGTGTGAGAATTAAGAGCAGGCAGGCCACCTTTGATATGCTGCTCAGCTGCTGAAGAGTGTGTGTGTGTATGAGTGTGTGTGTGTGTCTGTGTGTGTGTGTGTATGTGTGTTCCACAGATATAAACTTTAAGCAGCACACTGTCAGAACAAACAGGCCCACCTCCTCACTGGCTCCTATGAGCCGGAACCTCCATCTCTGCAAGCTGAACAGGCTCTCAGCACCTGTGGTTGTGTGTGTGGCCTTGCCGACTGCCTGGATGCCCCAGAACACCTCCACACAGGAAACACTCATGGTTTGTGCCGTCAACGTTGTGCGGCTGCACCTGGGACATCTGGATAATATTCTGGAGGCGACAGGTTTTCTACACTAAAATATAAATATGAAAAATGTAAACATACAACCATAATGCCATCGTCCTAAACTACAGAGCTGTTTTTAAAATACTTAAGCGGACATATCTCACATGTGGATACCTTCGTGGGGACTTTCCCAACAGCTCACAGTTTAACGTGATTCCCAACCTCCAACAAAACTGCAGAAAAAGATAAAACTGGGAAAAGTTTTGGTGCTTCGCGATAAAAGAAACGTGAGAAGTGGAAGAAGGCGTTTTGTTTCATGGTGCTGTTCCCACAATGCCTTTAAGCAGTCACCGCATCTGTAACATTTACTCACTTCCCCCCCATTTCCCCCCCAAACAAAAGACAGCGAGACATGCACACACAACGCACACTGAGGCATGGCCTTCAAACCCCTGCAGCACAGCCTCCACACCCCTCCCAAGGGGTGATCATAAACCCAACACCGAGCCACGGTAACAACCTCCACACAACCTGGCGTCCCCTGAGCCTCTGGCACTCCGCGGCACCGGCGAGGGACGCTGCATGTGAAGATAAGCAGATGCAGACTGACAGGCGAGCACCACAAGCTCGGCCACATGGCAGCCATATCCGAGTCCAATTCCAACGGAAGCCATTGTTAGAGGCCAGAGCAGGAGGATAAACAAAGTGCTCCTCGCGCCTATCGCCAGCCCCAGAGCAAGGCTGACCCGAGATCAGCACTCCCAGGGCTCAGCAGAGGCACAGGACCAACACATTTGGCAAAGAGGGGGAGGGGTGTCAGGGCTCATGTGGGGGCCACACTCTCCCACCACTGGGCTTGGAACAACAACCCCACCCCCCCTTCCTCTAACTCAGCTCCTCGGGGCCTCTTCAACATCAACTGACAGCTGAAGAAAAACAACAGGGATCTCCGTCCTGGGGGGACCCCACCCCACCCCAGGCCAGGGCAAAACCAAAACCAGACCTGGAGTAGCAGCAAGTCAACACAAATGCTTCTGGGTTCTAGCTACCAGGATGAAACAAAGAGGTGTGCCTAACCCTGAGAGCGCGAAGTGAGCTCTATCCCTATCCTAATACCCCTTAATCATAGATCTACACCAAGGATGACAGTAGAGCAAAGGCCCTACTGCATCATCAACTGTGCACCAGTAGGGATAAATATTAGTAAAAGCATGTAGACCCTGTATCGTGCAATTACGGGCAAACCTATAGAACAGAGGAATCTGCTGCTGATGATAAATGTGCTAAAGCACATTGTAATCTGAGCGAGTGATCTTCCCACCTGAACATTTCATCAAGTTTCTGAGGGTGGCAGGTCAAGACAGAACAGCTACAGTGAGCTACAAACCCCCGGGACACCAATGGGGACCGCCCCCCAAGAAATGTGCACCTCCTGTCAGAGGTCCTGGTAGCTACGGAGACCAGCTCCTGAGAAACGTGCACCTCCCTTTAGAGGTCCCGGGACCTGTGGGGACCCACTCCTATGAAACGTGCACCTCCCGCTAGACGTCCTGGGACCTGGCGGGGACCCACTCCCATGAAACGTGCACCTCCCGCTAGACGTCCTGGGACCTGGTGGGGACCCACTCCCATGAAACGTGCACCTCCCGCTAGACGTCCTGGGACCTGGTGGGGACCCACTCCCATGAAACGTGCACCTCCCGCTAGACGTCCTGGGACCTGGTGGGGACCCACTCCCATGAAACATGCACCTCCCGCTAGACGTGGGGTGTTTACTGAAACCTTACAGCTTCTAACTATCCGGCATCCCTCCTGCAGGCAGCGTCTATCAAGCAGGGGCCAGGGGACAATGGGGGGGGGCCATGCAAGAGGTCCAGATAGGGCACATTCCTCAGGCCACCCGCTCCACCCTCCCCCATACCGGTACTTTCTGGAATGCCTCACAGAGAGTTTCCCCCTCGCTGGCAAGGGTAGAGAGCACAGACCTGATGTGGATGTGTGTGTTTGTTGGGGGGGGGAAATCGACTGACCAGGACAAGAGCACTTTAAAAGTTTCCACTGACTGCCTTCACTAGACATCTGGACATCTCTCTCTACATTCTTCCAAAACCAAGAGCCCCAGTTCAGTGGAGGGTTCAATCGGG